CTGTATGTCTGTGTCCACCTTTTTGTCTCTCCCTGTCAACTGTGTAGATGTCTTTACAGCTGTTCTGTTCTGGTTGCACTTCTGCAGCTGTGAAGAGGAAAGTCTTACGGAGCAGTGGGCCAAAGGCAGAGCTGCAAGGACATGTGCTTGGAAGAAGGGACATTTCTTGGGATCAGACAAATTGCTCTTTTATTTCTGTATCTTGTTTTTCTGATTGGAAAAAAGTTTTCAGAATAAAACTATTGTTCTCTCTAAGCTAAGCACAACAGTGATCTTAGTTTTTGTAGTCAACTTGGGGAGAGCTAACTCTTGAGGGAAAAGTGTCTGCTGTTTTCAGAAACTTGGTTCACAAACTTAGACTGAGTTCACAAATTTAGACCGCTTTCTGCTGGCAGAGGGCTTTTTTAAAAGTCAGGGAAGACATATGTCCTTTTATCTAGCAAACTAGCTAGTGAATGAAGAGTACTACTTGCCAGGAATAGAGCTGAAATAAGTCAGTCTGGTAAGAAGGGGTGATATAGTAAACTCTCTGGTATTTCTGTCTTTTATGGATGGAAAACCTGGCCAGAAAGTTGGTTCATTTTTTTCCTTCTCCTAAAAAGAGAAATATTGTTTCAGGTGCCTTAAAGTTGCATTTGGTTCACTTTTGCTCTAAAAAACCCATTCGATTTTACTGAAAATAGATCTGACTTGAAATCACAAATCTAGCAAATCTTAAGTGGCTTGATTGTGCTCTCTTCAACATGACACTTTTTTGCTTAATATCACTACAAGAAGGGTGAACAATTTGTAACATACGAAAGAATTTCAGTATTTTGATCCAGGAATCTGATGCTACTGGTGTGATCCATAGGGTCTGCTTTTGGACACTTAATCTGGTATTAGTGCGAATAACCTTTTGTGTGGTGAGGTGAATAACCCCAGGCACTGTTAATAGTGATTATCCACTCAGTCTTTGTAGTCATAGATGGGTGTTGACAGGCATGTGCAGGCTGCAACATGTCTAGTTTTAAGCCAGACTACATCATCCTTTAGAATTGTAATTGATTCTGTATTTCTGTGGTTCAGCTTTTACTGTCATTGTTTGCTATTGAATGCGTTTAACATATGCTTTTCCTTCCTCAGTCTTTCTAGTGACTAGAAAGACCTAAATTTAACTTTCTTTTCTGGAAAGGCATATCAAATATTTAGCTGTATCCTTCTTCCAGATATCTAGTGTGCAAGGGATAGAGTTTATATGCTTAAAGTTTAAGATGTCAGCTCACTGTGTCAGAAAGCATATTAAACTCGGCAGGAACAGTAAAAGCTGGGCAGTGAAGCAAAGATGACTGCCTGCCTTGAGCAGCTAATGGGTTGTGTGCTGAGTGGCTTGCAATGAGGTAGAATCTGGACACATTAGCATTTGGTTTGTTACTTGGTTTTGTTTTAATGTTGGCCTTAATTGTGTTCCAAAGGAAGGAGCTGGCAGTGCTCCTTTACCAAAATGTTCTGTTGGCATTTCCTTTGAGTTGAGAAGTATTCCAGTGCTTTGCTATTCTCATCAGAACTCTTGCTCAGCAGCCACTTTTTAACAAGAGATTTGGGATTTGGGAATTGTTGTTTATAGTTTTACCATTAAAAAAACTTCTCCTGGAGCTTATCCTAACTATTTCTGTACTCAAATTGCAACTTACTCAAGTTTTCACTCTGATAAAAGTAAGAAGGTATTGTTGAGGTTTTTTAATGAGAGTGTGTGCTGGGATGACATAAATGCTGTGCATCATGTCTTGCAAGAACCTACATGGGGAGAAGTATTGAGTGAGGTTGTGCTTGTAAAACACTGGACTAAGACATGTCACTTTCTAGTGAGGGAAATAGGTCAATGTCTGACTTCAAAATAGTGACCTAGTTGCACTGGCTATGCATATGCTGCTGTTACCTGATTGCTTCAATTGTCTGCATACACAGTATTTGGAGTTGCAGATATTTAGATGTATATGGCCATTTTTTGTTTAAAAGGTTTAAACTGCTTATAACATCCAGTTTTGAGTGTGCATGAAGGAGGAATGAAGCATTCTGCATAGTCTAAGCATTTTCTTCACATCCAGAGTAGCTCTCCAGCTGAAAGCCTTGGTTTGGATCAGAAGAAACACACAGTAAAGAAAGAGCTGGTTTGAGCCTATAGTTCCTTTTCCCTGGACTGGTCAAGTGGGCTACCCAAAGCAGAACCTTAGAATAGCTGGAAGGGACCCATAAGGGTCACTGAGTCTGACTCTCTGCTCCTTGCAGGGCTACCTAAGACTAAATCATAAAACTAGGTTGTCATTCAGGTGCTCATTGAGCTCTGACTCTCTTAGTGCCATGACTGCATCCCTGGGGAGCCTGTTCCAGTGACCAAGCACCCTCTCAGTGAAGAACCTTTTCCAAGTGTGCAATCTGAACTTCCCTTCATGCAGCTTCATTCCATTTCCTTGTGTCCTGACCCTGCTCACCAAAGAGGTCAGTATCTCCTGCTCTGCTGCCCACCTTGAGGAAGCTCTAGGCTGCCATGAGATCACCCCTCAGCCTACTTTT